CAGGCTGGCCTCGAACTCACAGAGATCCGCCTGCCTCTGCCTCCCGAGTGCTGGGATTAAAGGCGTGCGCCACCACGCCCGGCTAAAGTTTTCTTTTATGTGTATGCATGTTTTAACTGAATAACTGTATTGCGCCATGTGCATGCTTGCCCATGTGTGGCCAGAAGAGGACATCAGATCCCCTTGGGACGGTTATGGATGGTTGCAAACCATGGTGTGGATGATGGGAACCAAACCTACAACCTCTGAAAGAGTAGCAAGTGTCCTTAACTATTGAGTTGTCTCTCTAGCCTCTAGTGATTCCATCTAAATTTTAAAAATAAATTTTAATTTTTATTGTATTTTATGTGTATGGGTGTTTTGCCTGGATGTATGTCTGTGCACCATGTGCCTGTCTGGTGCTCACAGAAGCCAGAAAAGGGTATTGGATGCCCTGGAACAGAATTACCGGTGGTTAGGTGTGGTCTGCCAAATGGGTACTGGGAACTGAGCTCGAGTCCCAGCCCCTACTATCTTGGTTTTTGCACCGGAGGAAACACATCCAAAGCAACACATTTTTTGTTATTGTTTGGTTTTGGTAGACTCTGGATGAAACTGTATTTCTTTCTAAACTTTCAGCTTTGTTTTCATCAGTATAACATTTGGCCAAAAGACTATGATGTGTATGAGTTTACTCACCTTCTTAGTTACTGCTGTTCTAGCTGTGAAGAGACGCCATGGCCAAGGCAACTTATAAAAGAAAGCATTTAGTTGCAGGCTTGCTTATGGTTTCAGAGTGTGAATCCACGACAGTTCCAGTGAGTGCAAGGCAGGCAGGCTTGGTGTTGGGACAGCAGGGGTGACCTCACATCTGATCCACAAGTTTCAGGCAGAGAGACAGACTGGGCCTGACAGAAGCTCTTGAAACCTCAAAACCCCTCCTCCCCCCAGTGACACACCTCCTCCAACAAGGCCACACCTCCCGATCCTTCAGAAACAGTCCTACAAACTACAGACCAACCATTAAAATATATGAGCTTATGGGGGCCATTCTCATCCGAACCATCAAACTTACCCAAAATGTTATATATTTCGCAAAATAAAAGTGTCACTTAAGTGAAAAAAAAAGCCATTAGTAACATCTTGGTGATGGTAAGAAATGTCCTTCTGTCACCACTCCTTGCTCAGGGTTCAGACCAGTAGTGCCGAATGACATGGGACTGGGCTCAGTAGTGGCTAAGGTTCTTGACGATTAGAATTATTAGAAATGGCGGGACTGAGTGCAGGGGAAGGGAAAAGAAGAGAGAGAGAGAGTTAGTTCTTGGGCAAGCACACATGGCCCAAGTTGAAAAAGGACAGCCAGTAAGAATGAGTATTCTGACGTCACTGAGCATACCTCCTGCTGTTTGTTATAGGCCTTGTTTAGACAGGTAAGGCAAATTGCCTTTTCTCTGTTCTTATTTCATTTAGTTACTCTCATGTTTGTTTTTTTGGGTTTTTTTTTTTCTAATAAAATTTAGAATTTTGGGGGAAAATTATTTAAATCCTAGAAAGACACGAAAGTGGATAATACTTCATATCCATGTCATATGGGAACAAAGGCCGCCTTAGGATGGTAGGGACATGTATTGCTGTTTACTGTGGGTTAAAGATATAGACACTGAAGCTACTTGCTGTGTTGGCTACTTTTCTTGTTGCTCTGACAACAGCAACGTCTTTGTCATGGCTGGGATGGTGTGGCGGTCAGAGCAGGAGGCAGAGGGTCGCATTGTGTCGTAGTCAGGGACAGAGAGGTGAATGCTGGGGCTCAGGCAGCTTTGTCTTTTCAATCAGTCTGCAGCCACAGCCCATGGATAGTGCTGACTCTTCTGACTCAGTTAAACACCCCCGGAAAAACCTCACCAACTGTGGTTGGAATGAGGACTGTCCCCGATAGGTTTATGTATATGAACCCTTGGTCATCAACTGGTGGTGCTGTTTCCAAAGGTTGTGAAACTGTTATGAGGTGGAGACTCACTGAAGGAAGTGGGTCATTGGGGGCGGGCCTTGAGACTTCAATAACCTTGTCCCACTTCCTGTCTGTTCTCTGCTTCCTGAGTGTGGATGCAGCATGACCAGCACGCACCCTGCTCCTACCACCAAACCTTCCCTACCTGATGCCATATTGTCCTTGCCGTGGACTCTATCCTTCCAGAGCTGTAAGCCAAAATAAACTCTCTCTAAGTTGCTTTTGTCGGAGTATTTTGTCCCAGCAGTGAGAAAGTTGACAAGGCAGCAGCACACTCAGAGACTTGTGTCCTATTTGATTCTAAATTGTACCAAGCTGACAACCAAGATTAATTGTCACACTTGTCAAGCTGTAGATTTTTGTATGTTAAAGGTGCAAATATTTTTTGATACCATAAAACAGATCATCTCAAAGATTTATAACGTGTTGGATGTTAACCAGTTTTGATAAACTCAAACCTGGTAACCTCAAAATTTCTTTGAGATTATTTGTAGCAATGATTCTTTTCAAATGCCCTTTCCAAATCTGTCATGATATCACACTTATTTCCTCATTAGTTAATGACAGAAATCAAATATATGACATGTGCTTATTCAGTATCTGCTGGATATATGATATTATCTCACTGAAAATTATTCTTTCATACACCATTATCATTTTATACATCATTCCAATATTATTAGAATTTTTAGAAATTTGTGATATTTATGTAATTGTTCAGAGAATTCTTCTGGAATTACTAGCCAGATTTAGATTCTGGGCTTCTTTCCTTAGAAGTTTAGGATTCCCTTCATCTAGATGTTATATATTTTCTGTCCATCTTATTCTTTGGTAGTTTATGTTTTAGCTATTGATAATGAGAATTGTTTTAATTTTATTTTCTAGATATTTATTTTTAGAATATAAGATTAATTAAGATTTACTGATTCTACTTTTATGTGACTGTATACATGTCAGTGCATGACATGTGTGCCTGTTGCCCACAGAGATAAGAAGAGGGGGTTGGGCTGGGCATGGTGGTGCATGCCTTTAATCCCAGCACTCGGGAGGCAGAGCCATCTCCCTGGTGCCCTCATATTATTTGTTATGGTTAATTTTTTCCCTCAGATATGTAATAATATTATAATTAAGTGATGATAATCTTGCAGCCCCTTTGCCAATATGAATAATTCTCATCCTCATAAGGCCCTCTCAGAATAGTGTTGAATACTAGTGGGAGCACCTTTGCGTTGTATAATATCACCATACTTAATGTGAAGGAAGAGCTGGGAGTCTACACCCTTGGCCAGCCCAACACCTTCAAAAGGGTGCCTAGAAAAAGTGTAGTTTAGTAAATTAGATACATAGGAAAAATATCCTTGGACAGCTCAACCTTCATTTCCAACCCGGCGTCCTTTTCCTGCTAGTATATCTGAGGCCTCCATTCTCTTGTGTTGAAGACAGGAAGTGTGCTCCATTTGCTACTAACGTTCCCATTCAGGTACCATTATACTAATGGTTTCTATATATAGTGACTGTAATGTTCTTTGAATTCACCCAGCATTTCAAAATAAAAATAAAAATAAAACTGGCTGTTTGGATAGATAAAGGATGCTTTTAAAGCTAGAAGTGATCTTGGGAAAAGGGCTTGGGACAGGATGCCCGGTTCCTGCTCTTTGGATGGCGCTGCCCTGTGCAGGTGACAGGAGGGGCCAGACTCATAGCATTCCTGTTTCTGCCAAATGGCCCTGGTCACTGTGCTAGCTTTGCCAAGGGCAGGCCCCACGATAGGCTGTGTGGACTGAACGCTGAATACAGAATCCTTCTCTGTGCTTCTTGCCTGGGCAGCAGGCTTGTCTGCCCCAGATCACACTTGAATAGATGAAAAGAATCTTTTTTTTTTTTTTTGCCTTGGCCTGAGGCCTGCAGTGGAGGCCACAAAGGCTCTTACAGACAAACTTAAGTGGAAAGGCAGCAAAGAGCGCAGAGAGAAGACTCGGGGAGCTGGGAGAGGGCACGAACGTGAGCGTTTCCCAGATGATGAAGATTACCGGTGGCGCTGTGACCTGCTCATTCTCATCTGGAGAAATGGCAGCTGCAAAGCAACCTGTTCTTGCCTCCTGTGGCTTCCCTGAAGAGACATCTCACAATCTCTTTAAGGAAACCTGGCAGCTCTAAAGAGAGGCACCTTTGGAAAGGAAAAGACCTCATAAGCAAGATGGAGTTCTCCCCTGAAGCTGGAGCCATGAATTCAAGAGTTTATCAAAAGTAAGAGACATATGCATTATGTGTGACAGTGATGTTGGGAACTAACAGTGATTTCTCTCGTTAGGCTTTGTCCAGTGGGTAATTGTGAGGACTGGCCCTGTCTTTGAGAATATTGAAAGGGCAAGTCCTTATTGTCTTGCTCGGGCGATAGCCAATAAGATGGGAATCTCTTGTCTGAGCATTGATCATGTCTACTGCAGGTTACCTGAGTCCTAGCAATAATAAGGAAGGTCTGTCTGTAGCCCCGAGTTGGGGCTGAGCAGTGAGTGGGATCTGTGAGGCTTATGCTGATGAGGAAGCTTGATTCTGTTAGGCACTGGATGAGTTAACTTTGGGCTGGTTCTGAATGAGAGGAAACATGTTTGGGGAGGAAAATAAATAGATTATTATGATAATCAAAAGCTATCAAGTCTATGATTTTGATGGTGAATCTTCTTCCACACATGACTTATTTCTAGTCTTCTTTCTTGTCCACTTGTTGCCAATCTTTGCTGATGACCAGAGTAGTGTTTTAAAGTGCCTGGCCTGGGTACCTGAGAACTATGTCAATACCAGCTGTGATGGATGTTAACATGCAGAGCCCTGGTCACCCCAGAGTGACTAAATCAGAAGACCTGGAGGAAGGGGGAATGCGCACATCTAATTCTGCCAAATTTGAGAAGGTCTGGCCTCTGATGGCCTAGAGACCTGAGTTTAAAGCATGGTGCTGATGGTTGTGTGTGATGTTAGGGAAATCATCCAGCCTTTGTCTCATGTCTCTAGGCTACAAAGCAGGTATAATTGTACTTAATTGAATCTATTGTTGGAAATGCTAAGTGACATACTTATAATTAATGTGAATAGCTTAGCATGGAGCAAAGTAAAGGTTTCACATATGGGAGTGCTTATCTGAACAAATACTTGAACCTTTTTTTATGCCCCATGCCCAGCTCTTTGCATTAATGCTATGCTCTACTCTGTGTCTAGCTCTGTGCTTAGGACTCCTGGTAGCTGCATATCAAGTTGGTTTACATTTTACCAATCTGTCCTTCTTTAGCCCTTCAATACCCCGTCCTCCCTTACATCCTGCCCTACAAGCAAAATGCTACGTGCCTTGAGCCCTTTTCCCAAGCACTTGTCCAGGACAACTCTCCCTGTGGATCTTGTCCCTGATGCCCCTTGCCTTGTTCTTCTTGTCACTCTGCCTGCTGGCTCTGTTTTCTGGCTTCCATTTCTGCTGCCTAGCTCATGGTCCCAGCCTCTCTTTAAACTGCGTGTTATCTTTATTTTGGCGTTATTTACCATGTTCTGCAAAATACTGCCCTCCTTCCTCCCTTTTCCTGTGGACCTCCCAGGGGTACAATGAGGTCCCTCCATCCTTTGTCAGGAAGAGGTTCCAAATTCTCTGTGAACAGACCCAGATGGAGTAATGGAAAACAAGTGAATATTTGTTCAAAGTCACTCCCCTCTTGGTCCGTATTCCATTTTACAAACATCTTTATGTTTGCTTTTAAAATCATTTTCACTCATTAGCCTTTGAAGATTGGAAAGTAGGTTTTTGAGATTTTTTTTTAAAGAAAACATGCTAAGAAAGGTTTGCAGGAGCAATTAAAGTAGCATGGTACAAATACATGTGGTACAGAGTCATACGTCCAGGCAAAAAAAATCCATACACATTAAACAAACAAACAAACAAACAAATAAATAAGGGATCATGATAGACGTGACAGCTTCCAACTCAAGGAGCTGGCTATGAATTGCTAAGCTTGAAATTCTAACTATATGTGACTGGGTGGTGCCTCCCCCCATTCTCATGCTTAACTTTGAGCAAATGAGTCCTCTTCCCAAGAGAGCAGTACAGAAGGGACGCATCCTTGGCACAGCTTCTCCTTAAGGGTTGAGTGAACATCTAAGCTATAGAAAAGGTAGCCTGAAGTAATAATGTAAAGGAATTCATCCTTATGTCTTTGCAATGGAAGGAGTCAGAATATATTATCGTCCTTGTTATTCAGGTATGCGGCTGGAGGAATGGAAGTAGTCTATCATTTTCCCAAAGCAGCTACCTGGATCTCTGGTGGAAACCAAACTTGTGCTTGCTACATGTCTGGTAGCCCTGGACATTGCAGACTCCTTTCCCTGGAGTTAGAAGAAGTTATTCACATTCTCTCTCTCTTAATCGCCCCCTTCTGTCTCCCTCCCTCTCTCTCAGTTGCATTGAAACAGAAACTTCATGTCTCCTGGACTCAGCTTTTCACAGGTAGCTAGTACACTGTGATAACACAGCTCAGACACACATTTCCATGGGTTGAAGAAGGTCCTGGATAGACTGCTTAGAAGAACTCCGTGCCTCTTCATGGGTTACAATGCACAAGCCCTGAATTCTAGGACCCCTTCTTACAGTTACATTGCTTAGAAGCTAAAAAAAAATTACATGCATACAAGTATGGGGTGGGGTTTGTGCATATGAGTGGCCCTTGTGGGCCAGAGGAGTTGAATCCCCCCGGAGCTGGAGTTGTGGGCCACCTGATATGGGTGCAGAGAATCAAACCCAGGTCATGTGGAAGTACAGTTAAATGCTCTTAACAATTGAGTCAGCTCTCCAGCCCAGAGAATTTTTTTAAATTGATGTCTCCATAACACTAATTCAATGACCCTGCAGTAAATAACTATGAACTAAATAGATTTATGTTTTAGAAACCCAAACAAAAACATGAATGAAATATATGAAACTCAAGAATAAAATTAATAACTATGTAGACCAGGTCTTGAGAGAATATGCTAAGGACTGAATTTGTTTCTTATAATAAACTAGATTTAGTGAGTAATTAGTTTCAGGCAGCATTAACTCTGTTTCCAGCTGCTTGAAGATTTTATTCAGTTACAAAACTATAACATTTCTACTGGAGTGCGCATGAACTTCGGGGCTTCTCTTACTGGATCAGGCAAAGCCTGAGCATAAAATCCATTTTAAAACTCACTTTAGGACTTGCCATGCGAAAGTGGGAAGTGTCAGAGAGGCAGAGAGAGTTTTAAGAAACAGGCTTTCCAGCTCAAGCTTAATGGTGTAATGGAATTTGCAATTCCAACACTCAAGAGGCTGAAGTGACTGCCAGGCGTTGGTGGCACACGCCTTTAATCTCATAATCCCAGCACTCCGGAGGCAGAGCCAGGCGGATCTCTCTGAGTTCGAGGCCAGCCTGGGCTACCAAGTGAGCTCCAGGAAAGGTGCAAAGCTACACAGAGAAACTCTGTCTCGAAAAACCAAAAAAAAAAAAAAAGGCTGAAGTGGAGGAGTTTGACTTTGGGGCCAGCCTGGGCTACATACTTAGACTGTTAAAAAAAAAAAAAGGAGAAAGGAAGAAAAGACAAAAGTCTTTTCTGGGATATTTTACTTTTACTTTTTTTTTTTTTTTCAAGACAGGGTTTCTCTGTGTAGTTTTGGTGCCTGTCTTGGAACTCACTCTGTAGCCCAGGCTGGCCTCAAACTCACAGAGATCTGCCTGGCTCTGATTTGTGTTTACACACATACTTGCCATGGCATGAATGTAGAGGACAGCTCTACTGTGTCCATTCTCTGGGTGTGGGTGTCCATTTTCCCTCTACCATGTGGGGACAGGGGATTAAACTCAGGCCATCTGTCTTGAAGGAAGTCCCCTAACCTACTGTATATTATTGGTCCTTGCAAAATTTTTTAATATGTCTATTTACCCAAAGTTGCATACTAAAATATGAACAGTGAGTATGTCTAAATTATGGTTCTGGATTTTTCCATGTTACTATCATTTCTGATTTTATACCAATAAGCTTGTATTGTTTTATTTCTTTTAAAATCTTTACCGTTTTTACAAATATAGATTACTAGATATAATGTCTCTGGACAGACATTTCTTTTCACTTAAACACAAAAGGCCTTCCTCATTTTCAGCATCTAAAGTAAGATTCAGGAGCAGCTTAGTAAGTCATCAATCATTCATGTGTCCTCTGCACCAGGTGTCGACTCCAGGCATCTGGTCTGATTAAAGCTGTGTCTTTCATTAGGAAGACCGAGGAAATTTCCACGATGCCAGGCTACCAGGCTGGGTCTCTGACGGCAGTGGGCTAGCTTGATGTAGTTCACTTGATGGCCCCGGATGCATGTAGAAAATCAAGCTGTCCTTTGAGGTAGGACAGTTCTGGTGGCCGCTCTCAGGCCTCTTCATTGGTTTCCTGCTGTTGCTGGCCACTGGGGCCATCTCTAGCACTTTAAAATTAGTTACTGACACAGATTCCTAAAAGCATGGTCTGACATAGAAGAGCTACTTCTGAGAAAGAAACTCAGTGCATTCCGAAGACCAAGGTTTAGAGGTTATGCGCCAGCGGATGAGGGTTTATGTAATAGTTTGTCTTTGTTCCCCGAGCCACATGTGACCTTTCTGCTCCTTCCTGCCGACATCATCCCCAATAGAAAAAAAATGAAATAAAATACAAGCTCTTTTGCCTCCTGTCTCTTGTGCTCCGGAGCCCTCGTAGAGAATAACAGCAGCTGTGCGACTTTTACATAACGTAAACACTTTATTTACTTTCGTGTTTAATTTCTGCCGCTGCCCAATGTTTGCACAGCTGTTGGATGTCTGTGTGCCCATAGATTAGCCCTTGCTGTTTTCATCTCCCTTCAGCTCCAAGCATTGCGAAGCCGCGGCCCTCCCTGTTTGCCTTTCTCTGCCCAGCCCTTAGCGTGGTCCCTACTGTACAGGTGAGAACTTAATTAGGAAGGCTGTGTCTCCGGGAGCTTTCCCCATCTCCCTGAAGCCAGCTTTCTCCCTTGGTAAAAAGAAAAGACAAAATTCCCGACCAGCTCTGGGAAAACAGGGTGATTGTTTCCCTGTTGAAGGACACCATTGAAATATCACAGTGATACCGAGGAAGCCTCTGTCTGGTCTAAGAAACCACTGGGGGCGGGGGAGGGAAGCCAGAGAGATTGTGGGAGCTAGTTTGGAGGCAGGGCTAGTGATTATGGGATCGGTTGAATAGAAAAAGGACTC